GTTTGCACATAAACATCATCGTTCTACATTGGATGCCGTTTCTTCCCTAGTTCACTTCATCTGTAAGTCCCTAAACGAGAAAGCCACATATGTGCACTGTGCATTTCTGGACTACTCTTCCGCTTTTGACCCAGTGCCTCGTTCTCTTTTACTTAACAAGCTCCAACCGTTTGGTTTTTCCGCTTCTCTTCTCGAATGGCTTGGTGATTACTTCTCGCAAATAAATCAGTGTCACATTGGGAAGAAGACAGTCAACGGCATCACTTAGTAGTTCTGGTGTACTTTATCATATCACCCTATCTTTTCAGGACTTATATCAGAGGATTAATTATTATTCCCCCCTTACGAAATGCTGGTGATAGTGCAATTTATTTTTACGTAACTAACCAATCAGAAATGACTGAATATAACACAAACTCATCCCACCTCGTTGCGAATTCTACTTCATACAGTATGTTTCCAGACTTATGCAAATCATAATTCACTCTAACCCCCAAAAAACAGAGACTGCGCCATCTCTTTTCCTTTCTCTAATTCTAGATAACTCCGGAGTAGATAAACCGGTAATACTAACTCGCGGGCGAGTCAGTCCAAGGACAGAACACGCCATCACCAGGACACCTCACAGGCGAATGGTTTCTCACGTCCTGAAATATGGGATCTCAATCCAGAAAAATGCCTTGAATGTAATTTTTTCTTTGAACCGTTGAAGTCTTGAAGTATTTCACGAGCTCGAGGCTAGGCCTGTTGGTCCCGGATCTTGGTTATTTTCGCCTTCACCTCCTCGAATGAAAGGTAGTAGTGACTCCTCCTGTATATCCTCCGGATCCGGACCAGCTACCCACCTGCTTGTCGCCATCTGAAGTTTTTATCATTCCCCTCTTCCACGATATCCGCCGGGAGAGAATTCCAAATGTTTCTCACTCTCCTGGAGAGGCGACACACTGACGGAAGTCCGGATGATTCCTGTTTCCGAAGCGTGAAACGTTGATCGCGCGTACGTGCATCACTGCGCAGTGAAAACGTTCTTTTCAACTGATCCCCCGGGTCAACTCTAACAGGATATCACCACGAATACGTCTGTAGTTCTCCATGTACAAATTCGTGATGATGATCGTAAATACATGCACGTAGGCCCGCAACTAGATGGGTGGCCGCCCTCTGGACAAGTTCTATTTTCGCCATCGCTTCATGGGTAATGGGAAAAGCCGCCGCATCACCATACTCCAGACGAGGGCGAGGAGTTTGAAGGCCTTTCTCGACAGCGGTCTGAACGATCGGCGGATGGCTTCTAGGATGCTCCGGGCAGAAGAACAGACCATATCAGTTTGGCCTCTGGTCTTGAGGGACGAAGAAATGATCACCCCTAAGTCCATTTCAGGGTCACTGTTCCTGAGAATATCGCTTAATGTGCATGTCGGTCGGAGGTCACTGTGACCTATTCTCATGTGTACATACTTGCCAATTTTGATGGGATATCCCACTCCTCTGCCCATTCGATCTAAATCACCTTGTAAAACTTCCGTGTTTCGTGACGATTGAAGTGGCCTCCATAGTTTCAAATTGTAGGCGTAGACGAGGCATGGTGACTGTAGCTGGCTGGGAAGATCACTGATATACAAAAAGGAACAGGACGGGGCCAGAACTGATCCTTGAAGGACTCCGCTGAAAACCTGCTGCCAGGTGAATATGGAATCACGGGTCCTCACCGCAGAATATCTTCCCTTAAAAAATCCTCCACCCAGGTGAATATTGGATTTGTCACCCCAAAGCTTTGCAACTTCAAAAGCAGTTTTTCGAGTGGGACCTAGTC